GTCCATTGCTTTGGGGAAAACTTGGTGTTGAGAAATAATTCTTGATTTTGAATTTTGCACAAAAGTTCTTGATGAGTTTGCTGTCAAACTGTGTTCCGTTGTCGGCAACTATTGCTCTTGGAATGCCAAATCTGGTGATGATGTTTCTCCATATAAAGTTCTTGACGTCCACATCTCGGATTTTGGCAAGAGGTTCTGCCTCTATCCATTTTGTGAAGTAGTCCGTTGCTACCAGTAAATATTTTCTTTGCCCAGTTGCCTGGGGGAGTTGTCCAACCAGATCCATGCCCCATTGGGCAAACGGCCAAGGGCTGGATACTGGGTTTAGGTCAGCAGCTGGCTGATGTATCAAAGGTGCAAACCTTTGACATTGTTCGCACTTCTTTACATAGGCTTCGGCATCCTTTTGCATGTAGGGCCACCAATACCCCTGGGTAATGGCCCTGTGGGCTAATGATCTGCCCCCAGCGTGGCTTCCACAAATTCCTTCATGGATTTCATAGAGGAAATCTTCAACCTGCAAAGGGTGTACGCACCTTAAAAGGGGTCCAGTGAAGGATCTTCTGTAAAGATGTCCATCTTCTGTCAGACAAAATCTTGCAGATTTCAATCTGACTTTATGTGCCTCCTTACGATCTTCTGGCAACTTTCCTTCTTTCAGGAATGCAATAATTACATCTATCCAGCTTGGCCCCATGTCCACACACATTACTTGCTGCTTTGTGCTTTCTGGTTCTATGCTCGGGCCCGACATATAGTCGATCATAATTGTTCTTGTTTTTCCAGTCTGTATTGAACTTGCCAGGTAAGCCAATGCGTCGGCGTGGGTGTTGTCGTCTCGGCTGACTTGCAGTAGTCGGCAATTCTGAAATAGGGCTGCCAATCTAATGACCTCTTTTGTATATGCCGACATCCTTTCGTCCCTGGCTGCAAATTCGCCTGTGGACTGGTTAACAATAAGTTGTGAATCACAAAAAACTATTACCTCATCTGCTTCTGCTGCTGCTGCCAGTTTTAGCCCTACAATTAATGCTTCGTACTCCGCTTCATTGTTTGAGGCCTTGAACCCCAAACGGATGGACTATTCTATTATTTCTCTATCTGGAGCTATCAGCAGTACTCCTGCCCCCGCTCCTTGACGTTTTGAACTTCCATCGACGAACAGTCTGAATGAATCGCCGATGTAGATGCTGCAGGGTCTGAGTTTTTCCTTCCTTTGTTCTTTTGCCTTTGGCTGGGCTTCTCCTTACTTGCTGGGATACTGCTCATCTCGGCTCAACGGAGCCCGATGTTCCATGGTTTCTGGGGTGAATTCTGCCACGAAGTTGGCCAAAACTTGGCCCTTTATTGCTGTTCTCGGTCTGAACTCCAGGTCATATTGGCCCAGGGCCACTGCCCATCTTGCTATCCTTCTTGTTAAGTCTCCTTGTTGTAACAAGGACTTCAGTGGGTGCTCTGTTAGGACCACAATCTTGTGCGCCTGAAAATAATGGTTCAACTTCTTTGAAGCCATTACTAAGGCCAACATTAATTTTTCTAGCGGCAGATACCTTATTTCTGCATTGGCCAAGGTTTTACTTACATAATAAACTGCTTTTTGCTCCCCTTTTTCTTCTCGGATTAGTACTGCACTTACTGCGTGTTCTGAAACTGCCAGGTACAAAAACAGTTCTTTCCCTGGTTCTGGATTGGAAAGAACCGGAGTTGTGGTCAAGTACTTCTTTAGGTCGGCTAGAGCGGTTTCGCATTCTTCTGTCCACAGAAAGTCTGTGGCTTTTTTCACCAAGTTGAAGAAGGGTCTGCATTTATCTGAGCTTTTGCTGATGAATCTGTTTAAGGCTGCGGCCCTTCCAGTAAGCATTTGAACCTGTTTCGCCGACGTCGGGCTCTGCAGCTCTAGGATGGCCTTGATTTGGTCTGGGCTGGCCTCTATGTCCTTTCTCGTTACCAGATACCCTAGAAACTTACCTGATCCAATTCTAAACGCGCACTTTGATGCGTTGAGTCAGAGCCGGTATGTTTTGAGTATATCAAATATCTCTTTTAGGTCGGCAAGATGTCCCTTAGATTCTTTGGTCTTCACAACCATGTCATCGATGTAGACTTCTACCGTTTTGCCAATCAGGTGCTTGAACATCTTTGTTACTAACCTTTGGTAAGTTGCTCCTGCGTTTTTCAACCCAAAAGGCATTACCTTGTAACAGTACAAGCCTTTAAGGGTGATGAACGCAGTCTTCTCCTCGTCTGGAGGGTACATGGCAATCTGGTGGTACCCCCTGTATGCATCCAAAAAACTCATCCTTGCGTGCCCTGAAATTGCATCTACTAGCTGGTCAATCTTGGGCAGAGGAAAGCTGTCTTTGGGGCAGGCTTTGTTGAGGCTGGTAAAGTCTACACAGACCCTCCATTTACCGTTCTTCTTTTTCACTACTACTGTGTTGGACAGCCATGTCGGATAGTGAACTTCTCGGATGGCCCTGGCTTCCAGAAGTTTGTCTACTTCTTCTTCTACTGCTTCGACGTGCATCAACGTCGGTCTTCTGGCTCGTTGAATCACAGGTTTTGCCGACCTGTCGACATTCATTCTGTGGCAAGTGACCTCGGGGTCAATGCCAGGCATTTCATAAGGTGTCCAGGCGAACACCTCAATGTTGGCTCTCAAAAAATCTTC